TATATTTGTTTTAAATGTCACATTATATATATGATAACATTTGTGATAGCATTACATTTATTCCATATCCTCCTATTCCATAATCTTGCATTTATTCCTACAGAAAGTACTCAATGAACATCAAATAACAGTAACATAAAACCGATGTTATAATTTCCTACTTAACTATGTCACTGTTACATTACATGTGTTATATTGCACTTATATTGTTGAGTGGAAAATTATAACATCGGTGTTATGTTATTGATGTTTGGTGTTCATTGGTGTTCACTTTTACTTAGACATCAAATTGCCATCAAAATGCCATCAAAATGATAGTCAAAATGATCATCAATTAATGGGACGTTTTGCAGTCATTTCTACCGTCATTTTGACTACTCATTTTGACATCATATCCCTCATCAATTTGATGGCATTTTGACATCATTTTGCCTAACTTGTTTTCACTGGGTATCGCCGCTAAGGCAATACCCCGCGTGCAGCTACGCTGCAGTCGCACCGACCGTATACACTGTACTATTCCGAAGCGCAGTTAAAATCACCGCAAGAAATTGTCAACCGCAATTAAAGACGCCGAAAGAAACGTCTACAAGATAAACTCGCGAATACGCGACACTTCCACCGTCCGCGTCCCGCGCATCGCGCGAGCCATCGTCTAAACAAGCCTCTGACAGGCGATACACAAACGACTAAAATGGCGTCGACACGCATTATTTGATATATATATTGTAATCATCAGCAGCTTATTATTTAAATATATTGTTCATTTTTGTTATTGAGAACACTGTTTCTAAATTATCCCGCCTATTACGAACCCGAACCGACGAGCGATCCGAAACGCGACGCATCGCGGTTACAACAGTATGAATTTTAAGTTTTAAAATGCATTTTATTTTATTTTATTATATTTTTTACGTGATAATTAAATTTGAACAATAGATTGATGATTAGTTGTTAATACGCGCGAGATTGGAAATAACTATTAACATTTATAGGTTAAAATTAATTTTATTTATTATAATCTTCATATTCTATTGTATATATACATGTATCTAGATTATTATTCTCCTATAATTTTAATAATATTCAGGACAAAAAATAGTTGCACTTTCTTGGTGAAAATAGTTTTATCATTGAGGTTAATTTAACATTAACAGATAATTTATAAGATTTCTAAAAAAAATTCGAGCTTTTCTCTAAATCATCTTCTAGTACCATATTTCCGATAATATTTAACATCTTTAAGTCTTGATTCTAATGCTTTTTCTGAAAAGAAAGTTATAGGTAGCGTCTTAATTATGTCAGCTTCATAGATTTATGTAAAGGTAGAGTAAACTCGACTTAGATAGCCATACTTTTTTAAAATGCAAAAAAATACATTTCTTATTGTTATTTCTTAATAACGTTTGACACATTACTTCACTGAAACCTACAATATATAATACCATCAAAGTTAAAAGGAAAATATTTCAGTGAAATTACTTATTACAAAAATATCAAAACATGAGCATTGCCTATTTTATCTAAATTTTTAAGACAAGATAAGGAATAGATGACCCATATATATTTTATGTTCAAGGTTCTATACCTATTATTTTATAAAATAATGAAAAGAATATAATTTGACATTTTAATATAAGATATTTAATACATATTATTTATGAAAAGTATAATACACATATAAAATAGAAATCTCTATTACAAAACTTAAATTCTAAATCCAATTTTTTATCAAAACATTACATATAAGATTTAATTACTGTAATATTGAAAATAATTTTTGAAATATAACGACTTTTGTTTTATAAATTTTTGAATGAAAGTGGGCTATCTTACCCAAAATGTAAATGAAAGACGGTTATAATGGTACTTATAAACAAATAATGAAAGCGAAAATAAAAATATATGTTATATTACAATTTACATACCTACTTTATGTATCTAACGTTGATTGCGATAGCTTAACTGTAATTTATTCGACGTTACAGCAAGTTTTAATGGACACATGATAAATTTTACAGGTAGTCGAAAATAAAAATATATGTTATATTACAATTTACATACCTACTTTATGTATCTAACGTTGATTGCGATAGCTTAACTGTAATTTATTCGACGTTACAGCAAGTTTTAATGGACACATGATAAATTTTACAGGTAGTCGAAAATAAAAATATATGTTATATTACAATTTACATACCTACTTTATGTATCTAACGTTGATTGCGATAGCTTAACTGTAATTTATTCGACGTTACAGCAAGTTTTAATGGACACATGATAAATTTTACAGGTAGTCGAAAATAAAAATATAGTATAATATTCATAATCTTGCTATTTCGAAAAATGTACGCACATATACTACGATAAATATCGATTATTTTTATGATTGATTACACAAACGCAATAATGTTTTGCAATTATTAGAAAAATTACAGCCTGTAGTCATCTTTCCAGCATGACCATAATATCCGAATTTACTCTACTCTGGTATTTTATACCAGAGATACTCAGAGACTGCGAGATATACAGTTTGTAAGTGTCTAAATATGTGATAATATTATTTTTAATATGGTTTTGAGTGATTCAAGTAGTTTTTTTTTTTAAGTCCAGTAATCGATGACATTAAACCGAGATTTTAAAAGAATCATTTTGCGATATTACCGTCATTTGTAGCAAAACCTTGCTTTATCATATCGATGAGCAAAATTTGCTTTCCCCGAATTTTTTAAAAATTTCTTTTTGGATGGTACTCATGTCACTCGTTTTCGGTATATATCTCGTACACATTTTTTAAATTCGGTATACAATACTGAAGCAAAATTCCATACATCAGATCAATTTGTAAAGAATGACAGTTCCATACTTGTATAATTTTGTCTTAACTGGTATGTTGAGGGTTTTTCCGATATTATTAACTTGAGATAGGATAGCTCCGCATAATACACATATTTGAATTGCAGTTTTTCTTAAAGTCAACACGACTTTATTGTCATTCATTGTTTTATAAAGTTTATACTTTATCGTAACAGTGAAATTTTTTAGGAGAAGAATGATAAAGGTTGCTATCGTTCAATTTCTTCATAAATTTAGATACTTTTCTCTCTAATCGTAGTAGTTGTTCCCTTGTGAAAATTTAATTCTAACAGAAAACATAGTCGAGTATATGACGGACGTGGGTTTTACTATAGTATTATTTTCTGTTTATTTTCCCGATTTATTGTATAAAACTGCAAAGGAATCATGTAAAGCTATTACTGTGATCATTACGTTCTGAATTTGAAGATTTCATTTTATATTGTGAATATTTCGAAATTAAAGTAATGTCCGGATATAGGTATATAGAACTTCTTCCAATTTATTAATTAAACTGTTTGTAAAATAATTCATTAAATTTTGAACGCCAATGTGCGCAGTGTATTCTGTAACTTTTATTGGTGAAAGAACATCTTGTTTTGCCAGTTCCTTATAAAACACATCTTTTTTCTTTTTTATTACTTTCCCTCCCCTTTTATCTTATTTATATTTTGATCTTGCATCCAATTTCATCCAATTTGCCATTGTTCCATAATTTTCACAGATAACTTTCCTTTTTTGTTATAAATGCAAATAATAAATCATCCCATTCCTGCCATTAATATGTCGTAGGTCTGCAGAACGAGGGAAAGGTGGCGGTGGATAAACGTAGAAAGTAGTCTCCTGTAGATTGTGATATCTATAAAAATGTTTCGAAATTTCCCGTTTGTAGTTACAATATGATTCGCAGCGTCCGTTCGAGTAACTATTCAGCAAGCGACAACTGTGCGGCTTTGTTCGGGGGACTTTTTATACTCTATTAGCGGTTTATAAATCGCTGGATAAGCGGAACGTGCAACGCGATGTTGAGTTCTTGATACACTTTCGCTCGATCGATTGTTTGCGAACCTATTCTTATTTAGATATTTCATCTGGATGATTTGGATGATTTGGACCATATCCTTATATTCCCAGTAAACAAAGAACATTAAATTAATGTTTATAAACATAGACTTTATGTGCATTGTTTGGACATTTTTTAATAATATTTAATAATATTTTAATATTATTTTTAATAATATTATTTAATAATATTGCATTTATATTTTTTAGATATTATTGTGAAATGATTTTTCTGAATGTTGTTTAAACGTTTTAAAAACATTACAAAAAATATATTTTTCAAATGTTACTTTAACATTTATTTTAGATCAATGCAACATCTTACAAATATTTCTGCCGATTAAAACGTTATGGCAATCCTATTTCAACATTATTGAAACTTCCAAATCGCGGCCAAAGTATGTTTACAATAATATTTGATACAATATTAAACATTACATATTTGACAATATTACAGATTCTTCAATATCATTGTTAATAACAACGTTATATTAATGATTTCTTGTTTACTGGGTTGTCATCTTGACGATGACAATATCCTGTATAATATAATTCCGAATTAAACGTATATCCATATGATAACCCTTTCTAAGCAGAAGAGAAATAAAACAGTTCTAGAAAATTGTCTAGACGATTATTATCCAGGTTGCGGGACTCATGATCAAAAATATATTACTCTTTTCGGGCCATCCATTTCACCAATCAATTCTTCGATTGCGTCTCGACTGCGCCCGATTACGATCTACCTTCGTGGACACGTCATGACACCTCCGACGGTTCCCAAGAAAAAGAAGAACAGGTAGATAGTGGAGAGGAAGAGGAGAGAGGTACGGCGGATGGCATGAGAACAAAAAGAGGAGAGGGAAACTCTTCTCTTCAGGAATCATCGGGCCAGGGTCAGTGTGTGTGAAAAGGTTTCAGGCAGCAGGTGTCTTCGGGCGCGAAGAGATGAAAATCTCACATGGGTATTTATCACCCGAAAAATACCAGCCACGCCCACACTTCGCTGACCACAAATCAATCAATGAGAAGAGGACGCAGCCTCTACTAAAGAAG